TTTAATAGTTTTCGGGTCGGGTTGAAGGAACCCGATACGGGTCAGCTTCGGGTTCGGGTTCAGAAAATCGACCTGAAACCTGAATAGGGTAGGGTCAGAAATAGCTGGGTCAAAATTGGATTTGACCCGAACATGACACGTAGACACAAATTGACAGTCCTAGATAAAACCAATTATATTAAGCCTAAATGCATAACATATCCTAAATTTTATTTAAAATAAAACAAAAATAATAATCTAAGTTTGCAAGTTAAGATAAAAGGGGAGAAAATTCTCCGACGATTAAGAATGGTTAATCCAATTTGCCCTTGAGGGAAAGATGATTGTGCCTAGAGAGCTGTAGATGAAAGGAAAAAGAGGTTGATGAGAGAATGGGCTTGCAAATCCGCAACTAAGGAGAAGAGGAGTTGTGGCATTTGGGTTGAGAACTTAAGACTGAAACTCTGAAATCCTCAGCCAAGGAAGAATGAAGGTGTGGAGGAGGTTCTTTGATGTTGGCTTGTAGGCGATAGAACATAGAGGAAGGGATTGGCAAGATGTTTGATCAGTCAAATGAGAAGGGCAGGTTCAAGGATTCTTGGCGGCTGTAAGGAGTCAAGGATTGAGGGGGGAAGCAATGTCGTAGCATCTTTACATTAAATTGCAAGCATAACCAACAAAGAGCAAAAAGAATAGATCAAGAGTGACTAAGACGGCATCACAAGGTTTAGGAAGGAGGCAAGCAGAGGATCTTCATGAGATGGGTTAGGCGAATCCAACTCGTACAAGAGTTTAGTTTATTAGGTTCACTACATATTACCTCCTTGCTATAATTTGATCCACAAATTCATACATTCTTCCTGAAATAGTTGTGGATATTTTGCAATGATCTTTTCTTCGATATCCCATGTTGCTTCTCATTCTGGTTGGTTCATCCAGAGAACCTTAACAAAAAGAATAGATCAACATTGAAGTTTTCAAACCTCACAATCAAAAATACACTATAGTTCCTCTTCATAACTCAGATTGCTTATGGAATTACATGTGGCTTGAATTGTATTATATGAGAATCATTGTATATGTATCGCAATAATGACACATGGAAAATATTTGACACTCCTACAAGTCTCGATTGCTCCTTAGGTGTTCCTGCAATGTTATGATGCCCAATGGCTACTCCTGCACCTGGGATATTAAATATTGAGGAATCTCTTTCTACTTGGGTTCCATTTTTTCATAAAAGCTATTTGGGGGGATAAGAATCACTATCTTCATCCTGCTTCCTTCTTGATTCCTCATTTATGTCTAGTAAGATCCTCTACCAACTCATTATAAATTGTCCTCCTCCCATCTTGGTAAACATGCACTCATTTTCTCTGATGATAACATCTTATTTTCTCTTTCACCCTTGCAAGTTTTCTTGAGGCCATCCCTATATTGAGATTGTTCAAAGATTCTTATCTGCTATGAGATTAATCGAAGAACTTTTAGTTGGGCTTATTAGTTCTAGTACTATTCTTATCAAATTCTCTCAAAAAGTTCATTATTTAAAACTCTTCTCAAGGAGATCATACTACGTGGATATTTTTTCAATGTGAATACTTAAATGATCACCTAACTTTGATTGTTGCAAGGAACCTTCTGTGACACTAAATTGGGTTACTTTTTTTCTCAATTCTTAATTCACTATTTAAAACAATCCATTATATTTCTCTTATCTCAATTTTTGGTAAACCGCTTCAAAGGAATGTCACTACTGCTAAGCTATATAAGTCATCATTGACTAGGGTCCTAGTTGTAACAAATATTACTATTTTTTATCATGTTGGTGTAACTTCCAAGTAGGTCAGTCTTCCAGCAATTGCTCCTGGATGAGCATAACTAAGGAGTTTCATAATGAAATTCCAACTATTACACCAAAAGGCCCCTCGATGCTTAAGAGTTTAGCTTCTTTTACTTAAGAGGTTTCACAATCTCCCCCACTTAAGTAACTAACATACTCGTAAGCATCTTTATCCCAGAATCATCCACCGGGCAGATAGGATTCTAGAGGTGGCCCTTATAAGTTCAACTGATGGCTCCCAGTTCAAGTGATGGCTCCCATCATGTAACACTTTGTCCTATATAGGGTTCAAGAGATGGCTCCCATTGTGTAGCACTGTCTTGTATAGCACTTTGCCCCCATGTTTTGATTGGTGTATTGCTTTGATACCATTTATAACAGCTCAAACTCTTAACTATCGAGATATTATCCACTTTGGCCTAAGAGCCTCACAGTTTTGTCCTGTTTGTTTAACTTTCATGTAGTCACCCATCCTAGAATTGTTCTGAGATGAGCACACTTAATAGGACACAATGGAGAATAAGGATTCATGTAGCCGACCCCACGTAGTGGGATAAAGGCTTGTTGTTGTTGTTGTTGTTGTTGTTGTTCGGATTTTCATATCAACATAAAACCGACTCAAATTAATCAGGTCAAGATTTCTATCACAAACATGAATTTTTTTAGTTGAATTCATGTTGGATCATTTATTGACACCTCTACTCCAACGTTTATCCAACTTCAAGTTGCTTTCAATGAGGACTTACCGGGTTCTTCTCTTAATGAATGTGACTCTTACTTAGTTGTTTTTTAGGTTATCCTTGATTGTGCTTTTTGGTTTAATATTTTTTCGATTACTTGGCGTTGCGCTCTCACCATTAAATGATTATGTTTTTTTTTTTGAAGTGCAAGCCACTCGTTCTTAACTTCAACTATTTCAGCAAAATTGAAGTACTCTATACATATATTATAGAAAGCATTTAACGTATGGAGCTACATCAGGAAAAAAAACATGATCTGGACTAACAAAGAATAAGTTGTCATCAGAGATATGAACATATGTGGCTGTTTGTGTAATCCGGAAGCTCATAACTACTAAGTAGCGGGAAATTACTCACATTAAAAAAATAAAAAATCATACAAATCATCCAGTAAACTAGAATTTGTTTAGCCTTACCCCCATACAAAGACACGGTCCGAAGAAAAGATGTGTTATCTGCCAGATCATATAGCTCCACTACACCCCTACTACAACCAACAGCAAGAATTTGTTGCTCTGAAGCAATAGAAGCACACATGACATCATCAGTGTTTAACCACCATTCCGCTTTAATAGAATCAGTTTGCTTTAAACCCTTTTTGCTTACTGAACATACAGTAACCTGGCCATGTGAATTCAAAACAACTAGCAGCCTCAGTGGCAATGATAGTTCGAGCTGCATAATTGCAGAATTTCCAGTAGAATTGGGAACTGACAATGGAATACAAGCATTTCTATTCCTACCAGAGGATATGTTTGCTAATGAATGAAATGTTGCATCTAAACTGTTGGGACTGCAAGCATGGCTGCAGACTTCAAAATAACTAGAGAACTGAAAAAAAGAATTAAATTTGTCATGAAACTTTAAAAGTTAGAAAAAGAAATCCATATTTGTAATACTTAATAGAAGGTAACAAGATCTCCAAGGATGTAATCATATTTATACAGGATGCAAAGCAAGTCCGATATTAACCTCTGCATTCCAAGTGACAAGTTGTAAATGTCCATAAGAAATTCCAATGAGAATGCTTTTGTTATCACAGACAAAATTGCTCCTGGAAAACAAGGGAAAAAATGGTAAATGAAAAACCTCTGAAAAACTAAAAGAGTTCCATACGTGGTCCAGTTTTTCTCTGAAAATAGGGTCTTCTCGGTTATGACTAGAGATATATTAGCAAGAAACAAACCGCTGGGTTGTTTACCCCCCCAATTAGTAATCTCTTCCCAGAAAATTGGACCTTGTATGATGGGGACATCATATTTCGACACGTGTACCATCGCTGACGCCGGAAATCGACGGCCACGATCATGATATGTATTTTCATCATTTTATGTAGTAGTTTATTTTTATTTTATGTTTTTTCATTTTTGCCCTTATGGGTATTTAGTCTCTATTGTAGTCCAAGGGGCATTTTAGTCTTTTGTTTTCTTTGTCATGTTGAGGCCTATTTATATGGCCCTTTTCTCATGTAATAGTTAGTTTTGATGAAATGAAAATTTTATTTTGAGTTCTCTTTGTGAGTTCACCCTCCTCGATCTCTTAGTGAGTTCGTAGGAGAAGCTAGATCTCTTTGTGAGTTCTAGGTTTTCTCGTTCTACCATTTTCCTTTATTTCTTTTGGTCAATTCATCATCGTGGAGATTCGGATTGAAGCACTTGTGGAAAATTGGAATTCACTCCTTGGATCCTTATATTTTCCATACTTCTTCCTCTCCTTGGATCCTTGCCGCCGCCCCTTTCCCCTAGCCAAACCGCCGGCCAGCCTCCCGCCGACTAACCCAGCACCCCATCCCGCCGGGCTGTAGGAGCCCTCCCGCCGGCCAATCCTCCATCCGGCCACCCGCCGGCCACCACCAGCCCTTCTTCCGCCGGCCACCCTGGATCCGTACCGCCGGCCCCCATTTGGTTTCCCTTTGCTAGTTTGAATTTCATCCTTTAATGACTTTCCTAATTAATTCACTTAAATTGGGGAATTAATTAAGGGAGTTACAATTTTTTGAAATTCAAATTCCCTCCCAATTTTTTTTCAAGAAAGGAGTTACATGACATAATTAAAATCTGAAATCTAAATTTCAGATTTTGATTAATTAATCATGGTCCCTACCTATTTAATTCCAAGCCTCTCTCTCTCTCCCATATGGCCGGCCACCTTCTCCTACTGTTTCTCTCTCTACTTGCCACCTCATCATCACTTAAACACCTCTTTAATACCCCTCCTTCTCAAGTTTAATTTCAGTTTTTCCAGGATTTTAATTTCAGATTTCAAAATCTGGAATTTGAAATCAATTCCTCTCTTCCCCCTTGTGAAAGAATCTGAAATTAAATATCAGATTTCTTCTCTCCCCCCCCCACCAAATAACTTCACCCTCTCTACTTCCACCCGCCACCTTCCCCTTCTCCTCTCCTTTTCGGACGCCACCTTAGTCCGGGCAATGGTGCATGGTGGATCCCGAAGTGGATAGTGGTTTAGTACTCGACGTCTACGGAAGTATTCATATAACACTCTCGCCATTCTTCGACGTTGAGTTTGGATCCGACGACACCGTCGACGACTATTTGAATCGCATCCTCCCTACGCTCGTGGATGTCGTAGACGAACAATTTGAAGACTACGATTGGACCATCCGCGGACACCCACCGGCCTCCTCCCCGGCGACAAGTCCCCTCTGCATCACCTGTCTACTAGTGGCATCGCTAAGCCTACTTACAATTCTCCTCCGCTAGCCACCACTTTCAAAACGAGTGACGGACCTCCTGGTGAATGATCTAGATTTTAGATTTGGGGCTTTGTTATCATTAGCTATTTGCATTACTTCAATATTTAGTAGTTATTTTGCAAGTTACCGTAATCTCTACATGTGATCTATTGCCGTTGCTAAATTTCTCAACCACAAATTCTTAACTCAATCTTGAGCAAGCAAAGAGTTAATTATTAGCAAGATGAATTCCATCGCTCTTATTAATTTCCCAAAGGCAATTCTTGTTCATTGCATGTTGTTTCACATCATTGTAGATATGGAAGAATGCCAAAGATGTCTTCAATAAGGATGAATGATAGGAAAGATAAGTGTATTATAATATAGAAACAACCAAAAATATTGTTTTGCAGCAGAAACAAATTATACCCAACAGATATACATTCAAGATAGCTGAAGCGAAACATTTGAACTACGTATAATAAAGAAGAGAACAAATTGAAGGGTGACTGAAACTATAAGAGCTTAATAAGATTATATTTGCTTTAACCCATATGAATATGTTGAACGTTTGTTCATTCAAAAAAGGTAGTGGGTATGGTTTAGGTTTTGACTTTCTAAGATCTAGAGTTCCCTGACTTACAATAAATGACACCATCAGTGACTTCAAATTATTTCTTGCAATGTCAGAATAATGTCCACAAATTTGATTACATTTAATAACAAGCAAATTCGGATTTAATTAATAATTGTGGCCATCTAAAGTAGGATAAAAATAATATTAAGCTCATTTGTTCATGATAAACTACATTTAGCAATTTTTTTACCGTCATTAACAAAAAGGATGACCTAAATTTCTTCCAGTGTCCATTTTGTCCCCTTCATCTTTTTAGGTCTGTGCATGAAGTCAATCCAACATGAATTGTTTTGCGGAACAAAGAAATCCCAAATAGAAATCTGCCTTTGTTTTTTTCAACCAAATCTTTTACTTGAGTGCCATAAATTAAAAATGCAAGTGAACGAAGAGATAAAGTAAGAAATAGCATTATAATAGGAGATATTACAGGAGTTGTCGACATTAACAAGTATTCAAAAAGATGAACAAAACACCATCATTTTATTTGGATTCTTCCAAGCTGATTGCACACAAGATTTTCTCAAAAACCAAGCGTAAAACATGATATTAGTCATTTTGCATGGTAATGCCAATGTTGATCAAAATGGTCGTACTGATCATTTAACAGTTATACAAATCATTTAACTAAATAAAATTTTTCAAAGCAAATGCTATTATTTAAAATATTAAATTTGTGGCTAATTAACTAGTTATACCCTTAACTTTTTTTTTTTTTTTTTTAATTTTTTAGTTATACCCTTAACTTCATGGTAAGTTAGTTACAATCATTTATTGATTATATTTTTCAATTAGGTCTCTACATAACCATTATTATATGATCGTCTATCATTATTCTAAAACCTCGACAAGGCCCCTTTCATTTGATTAAATCTTGTTTTATATCTTAACTATTAACAAAATTGTATGCCATAGCATGCACAATAAAAATGTCTTCATAAATATGAAATTCATCATTATAATTGTTAGTCTTATTCTAACTACTTTGGATCAACTTTATGAACCCATATTCAGAGGTCATTCCTATTGAGTCTTGGATGGAACGCTAATTTATTTTATTAAAATCCTATTGCACAAACAATAGCAATGACAGATTGACTACCTCTTCTCCAACCTAATTCATCCCCATTAATTTTCCCAACCCATCTTATTGGCGTGTATCCTAGAAGAGGTAGAGTTGCTCTTAGACATAGAGCCCTCATCCATGCTCTTAGCATTCACACAACGCACGTTGCGCTAGCAAACTATTTCCTGTAGTTTATTCTATCCTCGCACTTTGCCTCTCTTGTTGTGGCAACGAGCCGAAGCCTTCATCCACCCTTTGATTTCGTCTCATCGACGCATCTAGGAGCCATTTTGTGCAGACCTGCCTCCAACTACCTCTAGCTCAACCTCCCAAGTGAGTCTTGAGGTAGCACCTTGCTCGTTTCTACTAAGACTCATCATGCATGCTTATCATCCCATTGCCCCTCGCTCTGTTACTCTGTGCTCATTCTCCTTTCTCGTTCTAAACCATGTGTCATTGGTGACTTCAATGCATCCCATTTCTACCTTTTTTTTAGAATGAATTTCATCTCACTTCCTGGGGCTTCTTCGCCTCCTTCGTAGGTGCTTCCAGAAGTTAGGGTCAAGGCAACGCCACGTGCTTCATCTTTACAACACCACTCTGCCAATAATCACTTGGTGGTCAAATATCAATCTGCTCATACACTCTGGATTTCTCTGGATGTTGGTGTTTTTCCTCAAATCTTTTGTTCATCATTATTATTAGGGCTAAATGTTCTTTGAAGCCATATCCAAATGACCATTCCCTTAACTCTTTTAACATAGCATGATGTTGCTAAACACAAGATGCCTTCTACCCTTAATGGTATACCCGTTTTTATTTTACAAAGGCTAACATCTTTTATTATGTGGATTCTTTTTGGTTCACTTTGATTGATAAATTTGCCTTTGGCTACCCAATCTTGGAGATTATTTGTTCTTTCATGTATAATCTTCGTTTGATTGATGATTTCTCTGCTGGACTTCTTGAAACCACCACATGCATATTAAATTAACTTTGGAAGCAGATTATTCAATTCTTTTATCTTGGTGTTCATATTATGTGAATTGTTTACATATGTGTGTTGAAGTGATCTACATATTTTCATACTTCTATGGAGCGCCAATCACTATAATTTGAGTTATTTTCCACATCTTTGTGTCCACTATATCAATCAATCAACATTATACTCTTTGGAATTGATTTTGTTCAAATGCAAGTGGATGATATTAGATGATCTAGTTAGGGGAGTAGAAGTATTAGATATGGCCTATATTAAAAAAGGTAGAGGTTGACCCAAAAAGACATGGTTAGAAAGTATTAGAAATGACCTTTTTATTATATTTAAATGAAAAATTGGCTCTTAATATGACACAATAGAGAAAAAAGATTCATGTTGTCGACCCCTAAAAATGAGAAAAATCACAGGGTCTAGCCCAGTTTGAATGAATCCACTAGTGTTTGTAGTTGATTACAAATGAGGCCCTTCATTGGAAGAAAGGTCATGGCTTCATATAAAAAATATACATTATATAGAGTGTGTTAAATTGTGGAAATAGGAAGAATCACTGTTGGCGTGTTCGCTTGGCTGGAATGGCCATAGTCGGTGGGCGACAAAGGTCGGAAGGACTGTAGTCGATGGGCGATGTTAATATTATGTCTACTGTCACACCCCAAGTATATTTCAAAGTTGATTTAGGAATCCTTTCCAATGCCTTAAGGTGCATCCTTCCTCTCTTCAAATGAGCCCAAAACATTTGTAAGAAGGTAGGAAGCTCTCTTTCTATGACCCAAAGGTTGTAGGAAAGATCTTCTCATTCTCCTAACCTAAATTAGGAGAGTGTGCATCATTCTTTGAATGTCAAATGTTCAAGGAACCTTCAAGAGTTTGCAACTCCTAAGTTGCATCTCATTCTTCTCCATCCCTCCAACCCAAATTGGAGGAATGAATCCCCTTTTTGAACACCAGGCGTTCAAAGAAACTACTCCAATTTGCAACCCCTAAGTTGCACTTTGGGCTACTTCTTTTCCTACAATTCTAAATTGTAAACCCATGTTGAGTGAATTAGACACATGAAAGTCACCTATTTGTTGAATCAAAATCAACAAATAATTCAATCCAAAATCATTTATTTGTTGAACCAAATTCAACAAATAATTCCATAGCAAGCAAAGGAGAAACTCCTAGCTTTCTTCCATTCTCCTAAACCTAAATTAGGAGAATGTATTCCCCTCTTTGGACAACAAATGTCCAAAGAACTCTCTTTGATTTGCAATCTCCAATTGCATCTCCCCTTCTCTTCTCTACAAACCAAAATCGTAGAGAATTTTCCCTCCTATAACCCAAAAGTTGTAGGAAGATATTTTCATTCTCTTAAATCAAGTTATGAGAATGTATTTTCCTCTTTGAACATCAAATGTTCAAAGAATGTTCATGGGGTTGTAGCTTCCAAGTTGCGCCCCTTCTCATCCATTCCTTTCCTCCAACCCAAGTTGGATGGAGGGATTCCGTTATTTGGACACCCAAAAATCCATATAACTCTTGATGACTTGTAACCAAAATTACAAGTCATCCCTCTTTTCCTTCGACTCCAAAAAGTCTAAGGAATCCTCCCAACCTTAGCTTAAAAGCTATGAGTTTGATCCAATTCTCCTCCAACTCCAAAGTTGTAGGAGATCCCCCCTCTTTAGCTCCAAAAGCTAGAGGAAGTTTTCCTACATTCAGCCCAAAAGCTAAATGTTGGATCCCTACCTTTCTCTTCTTAGCTCCAAAAGCTAAGGAAATTCCTCGACATGTAGCCTAAAGCTACATGTTGGACACTCTTCTTAGACCTAAAATTTAAGTGCTCTCTTGCATTCAACCCAAATTGAATGATTTTTCTATGACATTTAAAATGCTAAACTCATAGATGTCCTTAGGAATTATCCAATATGCTGAAGTTCATCCTACCCTATTGGATGGATTTCACCAAGTCCTAAGTAAAACCCCTTAGGCAAGTCTATCTTACACTATTAGATAGACATTTCTCTTATCCAAACATTAAGAGAACTCTAAAACACCTAAAAATTACTTAGGTTCCATTTTGATACAATGATCAAGCATCTCCCCCAAAAGGCGGGATGCCTACACCATTGTATCTTAGGATTCATAAGTAACAGGCTTGCCCAAAAGCAAGCATGTGGTTACTTTATGGGTTCTTTATAACCCTCCTAATATGAAACACTTAAAAATCAAATAAAATCTTTAAGTCACAAACAACTTAAAGTGAAATCACCCTTGGATA